TTATTATTATTATTATTATTATTATTATTATTATTATTATTATTATTATTATTATTATTATTATTATTATTATTATTATTATTATTATTATTATTATTATTATTATTATTATTATTATTATTATTACTATTATTATTACTATTACTATTACTATTACTATTACTATTACTATTACTATTATTATCCACTTTCCCGCCTTCTAAGATTTCAAGAGATTTAGATAATATAAAATATGTTAATTTTCTCAGTCGACGTCGAAATCTGATAAATTGAGGAGAGCATAATGAACTAAGGAGAAGATTGGTAGCACATTTGTGGGATAAACGTCATCAAATAGATAATGTTGAAGATGATAAGGATAATAATGGTGAATGAGACTCATCTGCTCATAAGGGGTACTATTTCCTTGTTAGGCCAAACAAGGTTTTAACGAGGCCCCTGTTATCAATGAAATAATTTTTTTGGCCAAAAGAAATGTTGTAATGTTTTTATAATTAAGTTATGTTGTAATGCTTTTATGATTAATTTATGTTGTAAGGTTTTTAGGAAAAAAATAATAAAATTAATGTTTATTCGTGGTTTTATTATATGTATAATAATCTAAGTCGATTTTCATTCATGTTTCAATAAATTTTTGATATTTATCATAATTTTAAATTATATACTTAATAAAATCATTGTTTAAGATCAAATTCATAACCAATATATTGGTAATAAAATAGACTAAGTTTACGATTAACATTAAAACTATAATTTTGTAATATATTTGGTGAAATGCCATGGGAGACCAAACCAATCATATTCTCTATAAATGGTAAAATGGTGAAATATTAATATTTTATTATTTGGTATAAAATTTGATGGAATTGGTGGGAGAACAAATACACTATTATGTCACTAAAAATAGAGAAATTATAGAATGGTGTGCTACGGGTGGGAGATAACACCATTTTTTCACCACCAAAAATAGGATTTGGTGAAGAAATGGTGTTAAGGGTGGGAAATGCTCTAATTAAGACAAATAAGTCATTTAAACATTTTTCCCCAAATTTTCGAAAAAAACATAAAACTTCAAGAACCAAGTTATCTTTTCAAAACACTAACATGAAATCATCATCTAAAACATACAATCACATAATATGCAAGGATAAAAAATAAAAACACATAAAAACCGAAAATACTAGTGGTGTTGCATATTTGAGCAAGAATTCAAGAATTCTCACCTCTCTCTCTTTAGGGGAAGGATTTGTTAGCTCTTTTCTCTCTAATACAAGAAGAGATTAAGAGTTAGATTATGTATTAAGAAAGGAAGAAGAAGAACAAGAAAAACTTGGATGAAGAAGAGCTAGCTAAGCTCTTTTCGATAAAAAAAGAAAAGAAGAGGAAGAAGAAGCTTACTCCTAAGCTTGGCCGAAAATTCTTCTTTTGTTGAAATAGAAGGAGACCTTAAACTTATAGATAGCGATATTGGAGGTGGAAAGTGTATTTTGATCTTGGACATTGGATGTATTTATAGAGTTTTCGGAGAGTTCAAAGCCAATGGAGAAGAAAGGAAAATACATCTTTTTGTGGGGGTGATTTTGAAATTTTCGAAAGTAAGAGTGGTGGTGGTTCTTGGGTGGTTCAAGCTTGAGAAGGTGGTGGCTATGGTAGTGGTGATATGGCTGCCGAAAAATGAAGGGTAGGGGAAGAAGAAAGAAAGACTTTTGGCCTTAAAGTGGTGTGTGGGAGTGGAAAAACATACCTAGTCTATAGAGTAAGGGGCTAGGCTTGGGTATTTCTTTCTATGCTCAAAGTACAACCACACTAATGCATGTTTTCTACAAATTAATATGCAAATTTAAAATCATGTGTGTGTGTGTGTGTAAGATGTCCGAAAATTCAAAAAAATGTGGGGAGGATTTTCTAATTTTCTACATTAATTAAAAATCCTAAAATGCATGAGAAAATTTATTTTCTAAAATTTTGTGCATGCATAAATATGATGAAATGCTCATTTCAATTCATATGCAAGAATAAAATCCTAGTTTATGAAAAAAATAATTTATTTCGACATATCAATATGATGAGAACAGAGAGATGCAGAGACTCCTAAAGTTTCATGATTTTCTAAGAAGAGAACCTATATGAAAATAATTTTCAAACATCGAGACAAAATATAAAGAAATTATTAGCCGAAAAGCATGCATGCATTTAATAGTAAAAATTCGCTTTCGCTTACAAAAGACTACGGATTACCGATTAATTATCCAAAATGGGGTAATCCTAATTACTATTACACATTTCGTCTTTTAATAATTCCCACCGATTGGAAGAAGCGAATGGTAGAAAATACCTAAAACCGTATCAAAAGTTTTTACAAGCATATTATACAAATAGCATAACATAGCTAAATTAAGAGCCAACACAATTCACAACCCCTCCATACGATCTCCTTCCGATTCTCGAGCTCGATTCCCAACTTCACTCCTCGGGCTCCAAATCGGGTATACCTACAAACATACAACACCTATATGAGCCTTTGAGGACTCAATGAGAATCTTGAAGTATTATCGAATACACATAACACATAGAGCATACATACATATATATATATATATATATATACATACATATATCTTATACATGGATATGCAACATAAATTAAAGCAATCATATACTTCCCTTTTTCGTCGGCGTTCTTCATCACATAATTGCCACACACATAGAGTGAGATAATTCCCACTTTTTATAACCCTATGATCCCAAGACCATAGAGTGAGAATATCCCACCTTTATAACCCTATGCCATGACACGTATTGAAGATTATAGAATAAGAATTTCCCACCTTTATGACCATACGATCCCAAGACCATAGAGTGAGATTTTCCCATCTATATCCTCAACACCATAATGCAACATGCATGACATGACAAACCATCAGGAATCCCTCGGAAGAGTCAATCATAAGTTACCAGGTAAATAACCTTCATATATTCTTCACGCCTAAGTAG